CGGGCGGGCCCCCGCAGCAGGAAGCCCTCCTCGCAGGCGAAGCTGCAGGAGGACCCGAAGGCTAGCTCCCCGGCCGGAGAGAGGCTGCAGTTCATGGAGCCGTGCGCAGGGGGGTCCAGGGAGCCACAGGTCACGGCTGTAACACAGGGAGCGGGCAGTGAGCAGGGCTGGCTGGGCCGCACCCGGTACAGGTGGAGGAAAGCGTCTGAGCGGTGAATCCCGACCCACTGACCCACGGACCCACCGACCCGTGAGCGGGGGCTGCCTACCTGTGCACGTGGGCTCCTCGTGGTCCCAGTGCCCGGACGCAGTGCACCGGAGGCGCGGGGCCCCCAGGAGCGCAAAGCCTTCCTCGCAGTAGAAAGCGCAGCTCGTGTTCCACGGGAAGGCCCCGGGGCCCGGGGAACAGTCCACGGACCCGTGGGCGGGACGTGCCACCTCGGGGCACTCGGCCACTGCGGGTTGGAAGGCACATGAGCGTTAGAGGAGAAGCCGCTTCCTGCTCAGTTTGCGTCAAGGACGGAGCAAGGGGCTGCCCTCCTTCCAAGGGGGTCCAGCGCCCGGGGAACTCCTGGGGGCGGCACCCCCACAGGGGCTTTCCTTCTCTGGTGGCGATTTCCCTCTTTTCTGAGTGTTACTCTGGTCCCAGTGTCTCTGATCTAGAGTCCGATCTCTCCACGGGCCCCTGAACGGGTTTGCAGGGGCCTCAGTGCCGGGAAGGAGACCTCGGTCGGGAGCCGGCTGGTGGTGGTGGAAACAGGAGTGACAGACAAGACACGAGTTCACTTTAACCCCATGGCCCCCGAGGAAGGGGTCGTGGTCTCTGGCCGAGAAGATAAGACAAAGCGAGAAGGAGACGCTGAGGGTGGCTGACTGCACAGCCCTGAGCGGGTCTGTTGTTGACGTCGAACAGGGAGAGAAGGCGAGAGCCCCTGAGGCCTAGAGCGTGTGCCCGGGTTTGCAAGTTACCGGGGCCTCAGAGACACCCCTTTCACACGCAGAAAAAGCCTCTCTCACCCCAAGCGGGCACCACCCCAGCCATAGACAC